TATAGGAGTATTTTCCTGTTTGACCTACACCATAGTTTCATATATTTCTATAAATATTTACAGAATATGCTTATTCTTCTGATTACCAGTAGCAGCTAATCAACACATATAATTTACTGCTTTTTACAATGGGAGATAATGAATATTGAGCGGAATTAAGTTCAAGTTATCGTTGGTTCAGCCCTCCAACACAGTTCAGGTTTCTCATGTGGCCCCTTGTAAAAATTAATTGTCCACCCCTGAACTAACAGGAGACCTGACTGTGTCAACATTTTGTCATTTTTCTGCTTTGGAGTGTTTGTAAACTGTTTTCAATTGTAGAAATGCTGTGTTAGTGTGAATGGAAGGCCACAACAAAGACATTTTAAATATATTCACATTTTGAGATAATGGAGCTTAGTTATACTCTTGCTCAGTGCTCATGTGTCCAACATTAAAGACAAGCAAACAGTGTGCATACCACAGGGCCCTGAGGACCACTATCATGGAAGCGGCTGGAAGCTTCTTTGTGGAAATTGTAGTTGGCTCCTGAGGCTTTGGCCACCTTTTGCATGACAACCTCAGGTTCCACATCCTCATCTGCTCTGGCGTTTATTGTGACATGGGCCCCCTGAAACAGCACAACACTAAAGTTCAATACACAGACAAACATGGAACACCTATAGCTCTTATCTTGGTTCAAGCATGCACCACCCAGCTGGTTTACATAACGTCATTAACATGCAACCTAGCACAGAGATAGTTTCCTGTGTCAACATACCTTAAGAAAATTGGCCATGGAGCTGACGTGATTTGCACATATTCCTTTCCTAGCGTCATTCACTCCTTCTCCAGTCTGAAACAAACAACGAGTCTACAAGTTCAAGGACGACCACTACAAAAAGGGAAAAAAACACCAACATTTAAGTGTAGCACTAACCCAGTTAATGAGGACATATTTTGGCAGACCAGAATTTGGATCCTCGACCCGGCAGAAGGCGTACATCACTTTTCCACTGTTGAGCTCCTCAACCAACTCCTCAAGTCCTCCATCTGATGCATAAACATTGTGTAAAAGTCAAATGGTTATTGTGGTTGGTTGTGTAACTGTGGACATTTTTTCCTCCTACAAATGATGGGGTGAGAAAGCAGAGGCCAACAATCCTTTTGTGCTGATATTCCAGTACTGCAGCTGTATTGTATATGCTGACAGTGACATTCCTGCACACATCTGAAAATATCATGTTGAGATCATAAAAATGTGGTGTTTGGTATTTTTAGTCAGATAGAAACTGGATAGATACTTTATGTATTAGAAATGTTTAGTGGAGATAGGATGTCTAGTTAGACTGTTAAATGCTTAGTCATGCTTATGAGTTTCTACAGGATACATCTGGTCAAGGACAACTAGAGAGAAGAGTTGATGACTGTCAGCAGACAGGGTGTTTAATATTATTATTATGACGTGTATAACTGTAGCCTTAGCCATAATATGTTCTTATGTTTAAGTCACGACATGTTACTAGAAGTCGTGAGAATGTTTTTAGCTACACACCACTTAATCAACACACACACACACACATTGATTTGCTTCATGTTTTGACTACTGCTATGGCCAGCTGCAAAGCTGGCAACAGAGACGTCTCGGTTGACGTTTCTGTGTAGTATGGGGCTAGCCCAACCGAGGGGATATAATGTATAGGCCTGGTGGAATGTTAATTTTTGCCTGTGTTCATGGAATAAATCAGACCTGAGCGTGTAATGTTAATTTTTGCCTGTGTTCATGGAATAAATCAGCACGTTTCTGAAGTTACTTGGACTGTCTCGTCTCTCAGAGTTAGCAATGGTAAGAGGAACCAAAGACCAACAGTGGTAACATTATCCACTCATTTATTACCTCCTTTCTCTGCCAGACGGATATCATTACTGTTTCCCTCATAGGTGAACAAGGCCCTGTAGGACACATCAGAATAAGCATATTAAAGTACCAGCTTAAAAAGATTACACAGAGAAGAGTTCATTGCAAAGCTGATATGCATCAAACAATAGATGTCTTGTAAACCTATATTAAGCTCTTTTCACAATGAAAACATTTGACAAGGTGAGTGGTGTAAACATGCTGGACTGACACTGCAGTTTTAATCCTGTGTTAAATCAGCCATGTCAGTCATCTTCACTGCAACAGTTTTCACTGGCTTTTCCTTGCTATTAAATTCCCAGTGAAAATAACTAAGGATTAGCAGCCTTACACGAACTGAAACCCTAGTTAGCACCAGGCTGTTTCCTGTAGGAAAGATGCATTTAACTCTGACATTTTCCTTAACATGGAGGCATCTGAAGAAGCCTTTGCCTCTGTGCTCTTCAAGTTGGCATAGGTCACTGGTGAATATTTGGAAATAATGTAGGACTGAGGAAGATATAACTGCATGGCACACCAGGTCTTTTTCATTATAAGTACAAACAATCCCTTGGAAAGGTATTTTAATTCTGACAGTGGATATAGTACCTTTCTCCAGTCGAGGTAAGTGAAACGTGCGCACACTGAAACTAGTCACTGCAAGCTCAGTTCCTTATTCTATCTTTACCTTTTCCTGCCATTACCATTCTAATAAGACATATTAAGTAAGGGCAAGTTGTTCGGCTAGTAGGCGGTGGCTGTTCAATGCCTAGATAGTGAATGGCGAACATTCATTGGAGAGACATTCTGTGAATATGGAGCCAGCAGGGCACCGTGGGCAATTGCTCTTGGGCTTCAATAATTCAGGTCACCGTTAAACACCGCAGCTGCCACCAACAGCTTTCATTTAGGCCTCAAGGCAGACGCATATAGTGCCAGGTAATACAAAGAGGAAGCGCCTAGATTTGACTTTCACATATTAGTCATATTTAACTTCTGATATCTTACCAGGAAGTGGGTGAGAAAGAGCTAGCAACTTCTTAATTCAATTTCATAAGCAAATCAACAGAGGCAAAAAAAAAAAAAAAAAACATGCAAAGCACAGAGAAAGGTTCAGCCTTTGGCAGGTTAGTGTACATAGTGTAAACCAATTAACCTGACGTTGTTAACAGCTGTTGTTGGCTCATAACTTGTACGTCAGACAGTACATGTCAGGAATGTCGCTACACAAGTAAACAAAGCTCACCTTATGTAACGTGCTAATTTAATAAGCAGAAGACCTGATGTGGTCAGTAAAGCACTATTAGGTCATTTGTCCAGCAGCTAACGACAGGTTAACGTTGAACTGACTTAATGACTAGTCAACACCGCAGCTAGCAATTATGCATCCTACACAGGGTTTAAAAATGCTGCTCCTTACCAGTTGGTGTTGGATTTTTCATCTACCACTTCTTTATAGGCAGATGTTAAGGCAGGGCCATTTTTGCTGAGGTTTACTGCCATCGTTATGCTGAGCACAGCTAGCCAGCTAGCTATCCGGGATGCGCCCTTCCTGTTCGGAGGAGTGGCGTTGACGCTGACTTTCAGCGGTGTAGGAAGCTAGTTTAGCTAGCGGCTACGTTCCAGAAGCGCGGAGCTAGTTTACGGTTAGTTAATTGTAAACACGGCTACCAATCTCTGCAGTCTGGTTTCTGGATAATCGTTAAGATGCCTAAATTCACACGTGAGAAAAGTGAGATAAGATGGAAGAACGATCTGCGCAGATTGCACAGCAAAAACCTCGCGCAGGAGATTGTGAAATCAAACGCACTGTAAAGTGTAGCGTCATATTCACTTAAACCCCTCTGCATATTCAGAACGTTATTTAGAGTTTATTGCAACCAGTGCTTGTTCTGGATCACACTGTTAGTCATACATCACACAAAAAAAGGACTGCAGACGATGGTAGACCATGATGAGCTTTATTCATAGGTTATGACAAGGTCAATAGTTATCTTGTGTAGGCTATATGAGGACTCGTGGATGTTTATAGTGGCAGTTCAAGCACACATATTCCAAATTTTAAGATGCATGAAGGCTGGTCCTGCATTCAGAGAAAGCCAGACTTATCTTTTCAGCAAATATATTTGTAGCAGCCCTGATAGCAAATTTTGTTTATGACACTTTCTCTCTCAATATATGTACAAAATGAGGGTTAAGGCTAACATTTTAGTCAGAGGTCTTATTAGGCAAATGAACTGTAATGAAATCCCTGATATCTGGCAAATGGCTGTGAAAAGTTTCTCCAGAGTGCAAAGCTGCCTATATAAACTGAACACACTGGACAAAGGAAGTAAATATAGCATGGCTCACATGAATGATGAATTGAAGTTGCATTCAATTGTTCAGTTGGAAGAAGATACTGGGCTTTCAAATTAACTACCAGATGAACAAACAACACTGCACACTAATTCTGATCAGCACTATTACACAGGTCATTTTCAATTGTGGTCTGGCAGCAACAAGACTTTAAATGTATTTAAAGGATATATTTTCAAAACCTTTCAGCATATACTGTATTTCAGGATAACTTGTATAGACAGTTTTCGCTACAGCAACAAACAAAGGAAACCTATATTTGGCGCCTAAACCATGGGGTTACTTCTACAATCAAAACTTCTATTTTCAAGCTTTACTATGTTTTACTGTTTCTGGATGAATCCATCTAGTAATGCCTGGAGACAAACTCTGAACTTTATTCCCCTTTGTAACATCAAATAATTCCCTTTATGTTGGCAGCATCAGCACAGTTATGAGCCATGATTTTAAAATAAAAATCATAGCATTTCCTAACTACTTCATCCAACAGCCACAATGGATTTTATTAAAACTAATATTACATTATGACACATCACAATCATGTTCAATTCTGGTGACATTATTGAAAAAAAAAAAATCCTAAAACTAAAGCTTTCAAAGATACAATACAAAAGGTCACAAATGTATCACCAAGACAAACTGCTTTACTGTCAATGTAGATTAATCCCAAAACAAACTTTTGAAAACCTGATAATAAACGTAAGAAAATGACGAACCTATCACCTGATACTTAAAGCAGATGGAATTGTCATGGCAAATTATTGTATTTATTCACATCAAGTAACTAGATTCACATGACTTAGATTTACTAGGTTCTGCTAAAAGTCAAGTCTGTTTAAGTCCCCTTGTGAGTCTAAGTGACACCAGTTGTAACCAAAGGCCATTTCATTTGAGACAAAAAAAAAAAAATGCATGTACACGTTCAACAGCATACCTGAAAAGCTGTTCACATCCAAGTGTTGTTCAAAAGTAAATTAATAGCAACTAAAAGAGCTGGAGAGGAGTAAGGTGGGAGCCCTCTCTGGGACAAAATGACAGTACTTCTAGGACAGCGCAACATAGAACATCAGGGCCTATATGCATAAAAATACATCAGTTGTGCTGATCTGTTTTTGATCATTTTGCTTTTTTAGGAAGCATGTGTGATTTTTTTTTTTTTTTATGCGAACAAACCAGTGAACGTGTATCAGTCTTATTTTTTAGAAGTGTGATCGTATTGGCCCTGGTAATTTTTGTCACCATGAGTCACTGCCATGTGAAAGCTGATGACTGGGTTAGATACCTGAGTAACTGTACTGAGGAGGTGGCACACATATGCCAAAGAGTAGCTTTGTTCATAGCTACACAAGTCATGCAACAGTAGTATTTTGTGCACTATGGACACCAGCCTTGGATGGTTACTTATACAGGACATAAGAACAATGACAGCATGTGTGAGAAAAATGGATGTTGGCATTTGCCCTATAGAGCCTCACAATAGTGACGCAAAGGCCAACTACCTCTCAGAAGCTCTCCAGTGTCTTCAAATAAATACTGTTGCAATTTCAAATGCAGTTGGTGATAGAGACCAATCCTTCTTTATATCTTTCACATTGTTTGGAGTAGAGACAGCATGTGCCAACAGATCAGCTGCTGGTAATGGCACTGCACCATTTTGCGTTGAAAAGGAAACATTCTGCCTCAATTGCACATATACCATTTGAAAATAATAACACATAAAGGCCACTAAATACATGGAAATACAGTAATAAGAAGACATCCAGTGGGATACAGACATCTGAACTGAAGGAGAGCCAATCTCCGAAACCAATCGAAATAGTTTGCTTCTGAGTAGCACATCGATACGACTCATTGACAGTGAAATGATGCGTGTTAATAGCAACAGTGATAGTGAAACTCACAACAGCGGGGGTAACAGTTTTAAGTCTGAGTATAGCAGTATGAAGAGTTTCTGATATTCCATATGGGAGTGCTTTAAGGAGCCCATCAGGTCCTGCTCAGCAGATCCATACAAGTTGTGGAGGAGAGCACATGGTAGCAGCTCAGCACACAGAAAGCCAGGTGGCACTGTACCTCATTGTATCGCTTCTTTCTCCAAAGGATGGGCTGTTCTTTAGTTGTTTTTTTTTTTTATCTACTCTGTTGCTTATTTGCCTCAAGTTGCAAATTAAAAGGGTTTCTTTGTTCTCATTGGTTTTCATCACCCTGCTGTTCTCACATTGCATACTTCTGTGTCCATTCTCTTGCTAATTTGTTGTATCTGTAAAACAAATTCAGAAGAGGTTTCACTTGAAATTGTAAACTAAGAACTTTATTTGAGGAAAAAAAGCGAGTATGACAGTGAACACAGTTGAGATGTGGAAAATGTATTTTACACTCACTTTTCCCTGTCAGCCTTGTATGTATGAGCAATCTCTGGAACCAGGGGGTCATCCGGGTTTGGATCACAGAGGAGAGAGCAGATAGACAATAATACTGTGGAAGAATGAATCAGAAAGTTAGAAGCTGAAGATTACATGAACAGAATCTTAATGAGACAGCGAGAGGGGATTTGTTGGTTATGACATGACCAGGTGTAATTTGACATCTTTAGACACACACACACACAGAGTACTGTGCAAAAGTCTTAGACCAAAATTAGTTTTGCTGTTTTAGCAAGGTTGTAATGATCATTTAGGCTTATTTCTGTGTCTTTATTAGGATATAGCCCTCATTCTTCCACCTCACTAAAACTCTTCTTCTTACATACGGTTGACGATTGGACCTGAACATTTTCAAACTTCCATTCCTCACTCCATAACACTCTTTTCCTCGCTCCAGTCTTTGCCTTTTCTCCCTGTCCCCTTCTGGAAAAGTGGTTTCTCTGCTACTATCCTTCCACAAAGGCCGTTCCTGGTCGGGCTTCTTCAGACTTGGTGTCCAGATGAAGCTGTCAGATGCTGAGCCAGGTCCTTGCAGGATTTCCTCTGGTCTGTCAAAGATGAAACTCTGGGAAACATCTCATCAGATATTGACAGTTTTCTTGGTCTTCCACTCCTGTTTTTGTCTTTGATGTCTCCAGATTCTTCATAGTTCTTGAGTATCCAGTTTATTTGCTGATTTTTCTGATATTTTTGTGTTTAATACTGTGAACAGTATGAAGCTGAAAATGTTTCAGTTTTTAGTGGAATTGTCAAATGTGTAAATTCAATTATATGTTTATTATTGAGGTCATAGTTAAAGATGGTGTTGTACTGGACTACGTTATATTCAGAGGTATTCCTAATATTCTGACCCTCTCATTTATGTAGCCGGGGAGGACAAAGACATAGACACCTGAATATAATTTAGTCCAGTACAACACCACCTTTAACTACGACCTCAATTATAAACAAATTAATTTCTATATTTGACAATTTCACCAAAAATAAACATTTTGAGCTCCATAAACACAGATGTTATGGTGGAATTGTTGCACTGAAGTACATACAATTGGGCAACTGTACCTAATAAAGTGGCCGGTGAGTGTACATTTACACCAAATGTGATGTGAATATAAAATGTGAAGTTCCAAAAAGTCACACTACAAAAGTTCACATCAAGCAATGTTAACCTGCAGGTGCTGGTTCTCTTAAGTACACAGAGTAAAAAAGAAACATTTCAGTGCATCCTATGTTGGAAAAAAAAGAAAGTTGGAACTTTCATTGCCTGATGCAGGGGTTGAAATTGTACCATGGTTGTTTCTGGGCCTACTTCAGGATTACTGTGGTACAATCTGGGGAGTTGTTACTGCTTCCACAGCACTTGACCCCCACAACACTTATGGTAACAATGTTGGAATGTTCCAGCAAGCTGTGCTGTGATTGGTCACGTGCTCCTGTCACCAGTGAAAAGCGGGAAAAAAAACGAAAATCAACCTTGGGAGGAAAAAAAGTAAATGCAACTTTTTCACTCTGCAGTATTCCTTCATTGATATGAAAGCGCTGCACCTTAACCACTAGCCTACCAGGGACGGCTAAATAAAGTTGAATCTAATTTAATATTTTTTGCCTCTCAAACCCAGGTGTAGCTACCAAGATTAATCACGCCTGCATTACATGTTGCTGTTTTTCTTCTTTAACCATGTTGCTTTTTTTATTTATATGCTCTTTTAATTTATTCAGATATTTAATTTTAGATAGGTTTTTAATTTTAGCTAACTATTTAAGCCTTACTTTTTATTAGTGTCACTTTACTGTCACTTATTATCACCCCGGGTTCGAATCAGGGTTACGTCAGAAAGGGCATCCGGCGTAAAACACTTGCCAAATGTCAGTGTGACGATTCGCTGTGGCGACCCCTAAATGGGAAAAGCTGTAAGTGACTTTCTTTCGGCTGTCACTCATTATGCTGGTGGGACCTGAATACATATTTTGTTCTCTTCATGTGGACGCATATTTTGAATAACAATAAATGAACCTTGAACATTTAGCTGTCACTGAGTCAGGGTCCTAACAACCATTTCAATAAATACAAATGTCAACATACTAGCATAAATCTTGTATGATCCCTTACCTTTTGATACTGTAAGCGCAGGAGACCACTGAGATCTCAATATATCCAGGCAAATACTTCCATTGCTGTTGATATTTGGGTGGTAAATTTTTGTTGTGAATGCAACCTGTAACAAAACAAAAACCAAAAATAATGTTGTAATTGGCCAGTGAAGCAATGTACCTTAACCAAAGTAAAATAAATAAGTCAGAAGTGAGTTTAAGTGAGAAGAAATATATCAGTGCCTCACTGTGTGACACACAAGGCAATCCGATACTCACTTTGGGTGGTTTGAAGGGGTAATCTGTCGGGAAGTGAATGGTGAGGAAAAACACTCCACTCTGATATGGGCTGTCACTCTAAGGAAATACAGATTGAAACAGGTTACGTTTCTTGACGGCAGTTTAATTGTTTTTGTTGCATATTTCAGTTGGATTTCAAATAGTGTCACTTACCGGACCCATTATAGTTGCCTGCCAATGAAACACTAAGGAAAACAATAATTAACACATGAATGAAACTTTTAGTATAGGCACTTGTATGCAAATGTCTGACAAACAGTGCCATACCTTACTGTAATCTTTAAAAAAAAAAATATTTATACACAGCAGGAAAATATTATGTTCAGTTCAAGTGTACACTGATAAAACAATTTTCTAACTACTTACAATCATCTCCAACTGGTCCAGCCGAGCACTGAGCAGGCGGGTCCCTCTGCAAGTCTGACAGTTCCTAGGTAAGACAATCGCATAATAAATTAGCTATGATTATATTCACTTTGAGCAAGGTGGCCAAACTTTGTGGAGGTTCCGCTGCAAAGCCGAGACAGGCTGAAATTACTAGCAATCATTTCAGTGGCAAGCATGTTTGCTTTACAGTAATGATCACAGACTGCTGGCACATAAATGGTTTGACAACCCCTGATCTGATCGACATTTTAGCCCAAGGTTATAAAGTTCAACAAAAAGAAACAAATGTGTTATAAAGACGTAAACAGGGGAGAGGAGTAAACTAACATGTTTAATTGGTTTATTATGTAAACAATGAATGCAAACGCTATGACCAAAGTCCATTACTTACAGTACTATTCATGAAACGAAACAAAAATGTTTAATTAGAAATTAAGCTCATTATTTACCTTCTATTGAAATTAAGACTATCTATCCTGTTATATAAATACACACTGTGGCCTGCTCCAGTGCCCCATTTGCCATTCCTTATATGGCAACACTGACACTTGGGTTCAATTTTGGCAACCAGCTGTCATTCAGCGAGTAAACACATCATCAGCCAAACGCACAGTGGCGAGTCACAAGGATAAAGACAGTTGGCAAACTAACATTTTATTAGTAAATCCCGTACATGTTAACCATTCAAACCAAGGACCAAAGCACCATCTAACCTTTGCTAACTAGCTGCTAGCCCAGTACTCTACTGTGGGCACGGTTCAGTTAATGCTCGCCAGCGTTAAACTACTGATTAAAGTGCTCAGCTACATGTCAGAAAAAAAACTCTAATATGACACACAGACAAAACGTAGTTGTCCAATAATGGCGTTGTTTATATGGTCACCGATAGCCACTGTTACTGTAGCAATGCACCAACAGGGCCACCGGTGGTTAGCTCGTCTTTGTCTGTGAAACATTTTTAATACGAGCACATACAAGAAGCAATGATAAGTCGAACTAGAGAAAAGGCTAGCGTTACACCTTTATATGGTTATCACGGCGACTCCCATACTCGAAAATACGTCTACTAGAAGGTATGGCTGGCACATAAAAAAATATACACTCACCTTCTGAATTCTTTTCAACGCCATTGCTTCAATGGCTAAGCTAGGTAGCCTGTCAGCTAACAGTTAGCACTTCACACATACAATTTGGCTTTTGTGGCCGCGTACTTCCTAGTCTCACTTTACCTATAATCGGGAAACCACGTCTGACATATAACAGGCTTGGGGCTTTTGGTTTGCAGTACAACCTATGCAATAATGTGTGTGTTAAATCTTGCTCTTTCTTTAGATTACGACAGACAACCGAGATATTTTGCTTTCTCTCCTATCACCCCCACTCCTTTGCCTGCCAGTTCATGGCATTATCGCGAGACCTCTTTTAACAAATCGTGAAGTAACAACTACAACGTCCATGATTGTAGTTCAAAATAGATTTTTATTTTATTTATTTATTTTGACAGGTTTGACATGGTGCCCATTACAAAAATAATATGAATTTTAATTATAAGGGGAGATAATAACAATAATAATTTCTGTAAAACAACGTTTGATATAACCTTCTACTCTGTGACCTAAATTACATTTTAGCACAATATAGGCTTAACCCAAACTCCATACAAGTGCTACCCAGAAATTTGCAGACACCCACCCATATTTTAGTCCTAGACAACAAATCAGTACTTCCTGTTTACTACTTCATTACATTCTGCCCTACTAGTTATTTTTAGTTGTGTTTAAAAGTCTCTGCAAGTAATCAACATTGAGAATACATCAGTAATTATCCTTATCATGTTCACAGCACTAATAGTACAAATAGGAAAGTAGTGCTTTAACAAGAGATTAATACATGGCTTTAAACATGGCCCTTTGTACACCAACTTTAATACAGTAAATGAGGCCAGGTGTCCACAAGATGTCACTATTTGAAAAGATCAAAACATGGGGGAAAGACATGCCCAGAACAGATGTAGGCTAAAGCTTTGGCTGGAAAATATTTTTGCAACATTTAATCATTTATCAGATATACTGTGGCGTGCTCATAGTCAGTTAATTTAAATTTTTGTTTTCAAACTAAATTGTTCAAGTACAAAAGAGCTTGACAATGGAGCAGCAAAGTACAATCAAGCCAAACAAGTGTATTATTTACACGCACATAAGAATAAAGAAAAAGCCTATAGAATTGTTCATTTAATACCCAATCATTGTAAACGGCATATTCATCTGAGTCAGCTGCATGCTCCGGTTTCTGCACAGCCTTGTCTTGCAAAGCGCCATGAGCTTCTCTTTATTTGTCTTAAACAAGGGTGAAAAAAGAGCTCTCATTATTTTAGTGAGTATGTATGAATGGGTCGCAGTGTTCATTCTTCTTAAATGGCTGATTCAGTGTCAGGTTGAGGATCCTATCGTCAATGTGACACTGAGAGGGACCATTTTCCTTTGGAAAGCTGAAGATTCCTTCAGATAATATCTTATTGTTTGCTCATCTCTGTGCTCTCAATGACCTGTCTGTCCTCAGGGCCTGCCTGTAATCAGATTCAGGCAGCAGCAGAGGTAGCAGTTTGGCTCTTGTGAAGCAGGGGCCTTGTGTTCTGAGTTTGTCTACTTGGAGAGGCTATTTATCAGCATGAGGTTTTCAGACTCAGTCAAGCCCACACTTTGTTGGCTTGAAGCTTCACTTCACAAAGCCTCCCACTGTGACCCTACTGTAGCTTCCTCTGAAATCTCAAATCACATTGATTTGCTTTCTACTGTGTACTTTAAACCCATAGGTTTGTAGCTGACAGGGACACTAGGGAGCCCTTCTGTTACAGGGAGCATGCTTCCTTGTAGACGTTCAAAGCAATAAGCACGAAAAGTCTTTTTTTTTCTATAAAACAACATATCACTGACCTGCATGGGGAATTTCCCTCTTATACCCAGAAGTTGAGTTTTTAGTTACAGGACTGTTGCCCCCAAGTTCCAAACTGATGTATGAGTCAAGGTATGAAAGTGTCAGAACGGGATGATATGGGTGGGGGTAGGAGTTTAGTTGACTTGCCTCATGAAGAATATAGCCTATAGTGCTGTTATTTGAAGCCATAGACCAGGCAGACTCCGGTGATTTGTCTTTTGGGGCACATGAATCTTTAGTAGATGTTCCACTGTATAACAGAGAGCATTCCACTTACTGTGGCAATTATACTAAAGCTGAGTCTCAGTGGAACTTTTCCCATGGTTGCCATTAGAAATATGCTCACTGTCAATTTCAAAATTAACTTAAATAGTGCTTGCTAATGTCTGAATTATCCAATAAAAGCACAAGCAATTAATACTGAGCACAAGCCGGGGCCTACAATCCCCAGAGGTGTTATACCTACAGTCAGTGTATTAGCTTTCTGAGAACTCTCCTGTATAACAAGGATACATTGTTCAACAAATACTAAGTGATATTTGTTCACTCCTTGTATCAGTGGCCTTGATTTGATTATATATTTAGGCAATATGTGCAAGCAGTGCTCATTTTGCAGGAATGTCAGCACTCTGCACAATCAAACACCTCTTGAGCTAAACAAATGGAAAAAGGGTCGTTATATATGGAGCAATTAGAGTTTCATGGCTCATTTCCTTAGCTGTGATTTGATTTTGCTTGTCAGTTTTAAGGTGGTCTTTGACCTAGAAAATCTCCCAATGATTCCACAAATCATCATCAAATAAAGTATCCCAGAACAGAAAAACCCAGGTATCCTAAAACCATTAAACTACACTTCAGTTGTGTAAAGTTCTTTTTGTCCAAACATATTTTACTTTCCTCATTTGGATTAAAACAATATCACTAAACATTATAGACATTATAACAGCGAGCATACGTCATGGATTCATCCTCTCCAAAGAAATTTGCAAGTTATTTTTTCAAATACCAATCTGATTATTGTGAATGAATGTTTCTCCAGAAAGAACCAAAAAAAGAGATCAGATCCAGTCCCGTGTCTATGGTCTCTGATCCACCCTTATCAGATATGCATCATGTGGAGCACAAACACAAACCACACATATAGTCATAAAGAACTAGTAATCCTTTGGGGTTAAGAACTTAAAAGATCAGTCCCCAGAGCCCTGTGTCTCGGGGTTGCACCACAGTTCTGACACAGTGAATGACAGCTCTGGAATCTATTTTACTGTGCTGCTTGGTCTCTAGAGCCTAGGTAATAACTCGTCCAGAGTGTTGACTAATACATTTAACCGTGACTTCTCGTAATCAAATGTGTTCCAGCTGTTTGATTTCTGATGACAAATTCAGGTTTTCCCAGTTTTCTGAGTTTCCTTGGGAGACAAAGAAGGGATTTCCTTTGAAACAGACAGGCAGTGGCAGCACCAACAAATGGCTTAGTCCTGTTATCAAATAGAAAGTCTGAATAATATAAACGTATCATCTGCAGCCTGAGCCAGTGCAGAAATGAAGGAGAAAGAGACAGTGGAAACAATGTTTCTACAGATGGTCTCCTAGACAAAGACAGTAGATTCATACAAAAAAATTGAAAAGCAGTTGAGTATGACAATATTTTATGGCTTATAGGTGAAATTGAGGTATTAAAGCAGCCACCTGTTGTTTGACAGGACTTTACTGTACTGAGGTTTATACTTGGTATCTGTGATTGTGTGTGAAAGTAAGTGACTGCAACATGGGGGGGCTGTCCATCCTGCCGCACAATAAACAGTTTCCCAGGAGCACCCCTCATGTTCCTGTTGTTGCTTCCATCGCTGCTCACTGGGAAACGTCCTGGCCTCTATTGTCCAGGAGGACAGGGGTCACAGGATGCTCCTAAAGGCCCAAAAAGGGAGGTAAGAGGTTGGATAGTGAGGCATGATAAAGAGCTAGCACCACCCCAACCTTCATTATTTATAGGAAACATTAAATTGCTTCTTTTTCCCTCTTCCTTGCCATGCTGTCTTTCATTCAAAATCCGAGTGATTATTGAGAGTTTCAGGAAAGGAAATCAGGACAATGCTCCAACTGACTACTACATACTGAAGACCCTGATTACCTCTACATTTTCCTTGCATGCGTTCTTTGCATATATTTAACTGAACCCACAGTCCCCATGCTTTCCCATGCAAAAATGGGATATGTAATCTAAGTAGCAGAGGGTTAGGCATATCATTAAAGATAAACACAGCCAAGAATGAGTGGTTGTAGTATACCATTTTCACCCCACAAATGTTATACTTTAACTACAGATGAAGCTTAAACACTGGTGGAGACCATTGAGCAGATACATGTGTCTGATTGCACTGACCTTTTAAAAAGCAATGCACATAAACAGCCATAGAAATGGTGAGCCCAACTAAATATGACATCTCAGAACAGCATATGTTTATGACAGTTAACAAAAACTTGTTGCACCTCTCTTGAGACTACAAAAATTAAAATAAATAAATAAATCTCACAGCACCGGCTGAACTGTGTATCCGTTTGTGTTCCTCTCTGTGTGAGACAGTATCCATAAGATATTGTCTGTGAAGTTGATTTTTAGGGGTTTTGAGTAGTGCTTTAGGGTGTGCAGGCTGTCCTGCCTGTGCCTCAGTGTTCTGGAGGAATGGGATGAGCAGGCATACTGTTATTTAGACATTCACAGGGACACATTTATCTCTTTTATAGAGCTAAGCTAACTGGAGATTTCAACAGTGGTCCAGATGCTTTTTGCATTGCATTTTATCAGCTCTAACTATGACTAAGACGATGAGCCTTCATATTTGTGTCTGTCCCCAAACTGATTTATTTTCATGCATGTGATATTCAGATATACAGAGAGTCTAACATCCATCCATCCATTATCTGTACCTCTTATCCTAAAGAGGGTCACGAGGGGCTGGAGCCAATCTCAGCTGTCCACCCTGGACAGGTCACCAGTCTAGAGAGTCTAACATATCTGCTATATCTCCCACTCATAAATAATATGACACTTTATGTGAATATCATTATAATTGTGGAAAAAGCAATAGTGAAAGAAGTGTTCAGATCTTGTACTACAAATACTCCTTTTCTTGTGAAAGCCTTAGACTCAAATTTTTATCAAATGAAATTAGCAGAAGTGCATTTCCTGTCGTAAATGCGTGTGGATGATGATAAGCTGAAAGATCGTCCTGAAAATGCCTGAAATCAATTGCTGAAACAGCTGAAAGATGAGAAGAAATGGCTGAAGTTCTTTGTTGAATAATCTGAAGGATGAGATGCAATAAAGTAGGAATGGCCTTGAAGAGCTGAACATTTTGATACCTGAATGGCGTTGCTAGCTGAAAGTATGCTGAACATAGATATTGTTATGTATTACATTATTGAATTATAGTGACTGACAGATTACTGCGGAAGTAGCACTATGCTGTGGTCCTTGATCAAACAA